CTGACCAAATGGAATTGAGAGTGGGTGGGGTTTTTTTTATAGCTTTTCTGGTTCCTATGGGGTCATGTAGAGGTCATGGCTGGCTCTATAGCAGGGGTGGATTCTACTTACCTTTACTACCGGTTCGCATCATGCGCATGCGGGAGCTCTAATGCGTATGTACAGAAGCTCCTGCGCATGCGCAGATCATTTATGATAACATCCGGGTCAGTGGGCGGAGCCTCTCACCGGTTTTACTACCAGTTCTTGCGAACCGGGGGCAACCTACCACTGCTCTATAGGCAAAAGGGGGAAATGCAAATCCTAGGTGTTTGTCTGAGCTAATCTTGTCTTGCCTAATTGCTTATCTGGAGTTTCTGTCTGACCCAGTCTTTCTGAATGGATTACCAAATCTGCATTTCTAAAAGCTGGCCTCCTCAGTTTCTGCTTGGGACAGGGAGACTGGGGCTGGTTTCTGCCTCCCTTAAGATTTTTCCCCATTTCTCCTTTAGGGGAAGTATTCTGTCCTGTCTTTTTAATATTCCCCAAAACATTTCATTCTGTAAGAGACTTTCATATTTTGTTGTTGTTGTTGTTCTACTGGATAAATCATAATTGGCTGGTTACTCACAAAAATTAAAGAAACCACATTTGGGCTATGGATTGTATAGGGACTAGGAACCCTTTTCCAACCAAGATGTGACTATGGGTAATCCACAACTTACAACCACAAACTTTCTGTTCCTAAGCGAGACAGTTGTTTAGTCATTTTGCCCATTTTACGACCTTTTCTTGACACAGTTGCTAAGGGAACCACTGCAATTGTTAAATTAGTAACACGGTTGTTAAGTGAATCGGGCTTCCCCATTGATTTTGCTTGTCAGAAGATCGCAAAAGGGGATTACGTTGACCCCGGGACACTGCAACCGTCATAAATATGAGTCACGTGGTCATGGGGAGGCTGCAAAGAATTAGGAAGTGTGAAAACTGGTGGTTAGTCACTTTTTTTCAGTGCCCTTGTTAACGTCGGTCACTAAATGAACTCTTATCAGTCGAGGACTATCTATACCGCTTAGAACTGAAGATAGAGTCTCAGTTCTGAAGGGCACAGTTTGGCCACCTTACCAAGAGCTTTCTTGCCTTGTAAAACACCTGTAATGGTATGTGAGAATGAACTTGGGAGCAGGGGTGAAATGTAAAATTTGTTACTACTGGTTCTGTGGCCGTGGCTTGGTGGGGGGGGGGATTAATGTGACTGGGTGGGCGTGGCCAACTTCTTTTTTTCTTTTTCTTTCCAAAGCATTTTTTCTAATGCTTTGAAAAGCCTCTGCTGATCAGGCAACTCAGCTGGGATCGTCAGAGACTTTTCAAAGCATTTTTTTTTACCACCTCTTCGGCCAAGAGGTTGCAGAAAAAAAATGCTTTGAAAAGCCTCTGACGATCCCAGCTGAGCTGCACGATCCTCAGAGGCTTTTTTTTAAAACTTTTAAAAGCATTTTTTCGTCGGAAGAGGTTGTAGAAAAAATGCTTTTAAAAGTAAAAATAAAAAAAGCCTCTGATTATCGTGCAGCTCAGCTGGGCATGGTTGGGGGTGGGGGTGCAGGGATTTTTGCTACCGGTTCTCCGAACCACCCGCCATTGCTACCGGATCGGGTGATCCGGTCCAAACCGGGAGCATTTCACCCCTGCTTGGGAGCCAGGGAGCAGGAGTCACAGCCAGAGGATTAGGTCAGATAAGAAGCTTAGTCCACAAAAAGAATGGAGGCAGGGCAAACATCTCAAAAAGAACCCTCCCTATTGTCTTGAGCTATAAAGGATTATAAAGGGAGAGAAATGTATTTTCAGACTTGCAAGTCTCTTACTGTCACCTTACAGTAAAGCAGAATTAATGCATATGGGTGGTGCTTCTTGTCTGGTCTGGTTTTGCAAAGATGACTCTTTTTACATTCCAGTAGGCCTCTGCCCCGCTAGTCTTTCAGAAGCCTTAAAAAGTCGGTTTTTCTCCTAAATATTAAAATTTGGGTGAAGCTGAAATCCGGTGACGATTGTTACTAAGGAATGCTGCTTAAGGTGTTGTTTTTTTGTTTTTTTGTTTTTATTGAAAAGTTTTACAAAAAAGAAATACAAAAAAAAAAAAATCCCCCCGTTCCCCCCCCTTTCCCCCCCTTCATCCCACCCTCCCCCCCGACTTCCCAGAGCGAAATACAAGGTATTTCATTTAATCAAACATAAACTAGATTTATCTACTTATCCTCAAAGTACTGCCTCCCCCACTGAAACCTTAACTCCACTACAGATAACCAAATACTTCTAATACTAACATTCATTCATAAGCTATTTGATATTTTCTTGTCTGATACTTATTTTGAATATAATCAATCCATCTTCTCCATTCCGAAATGTATCTTTCTTGTGTATAATCCTTCAAATACGCTGAGATTTTCGCCATTTCTGCTAGGTTTGTTACTTTCAATATCCACTCTTCAATAGTAGGCAAAGAGTCCTTCTTCCAATATTGAGCTACCAGCAGCTGTTTTTCTTTTTTAATGTAGTTTTTTTTTTTTAGTGTCTGTTATTTATTTGTACTGTTGTCAGTGGTGGGATTCAAATAATTTAACAACCGGTTCTCTGCCCTAATGACCGGCTGGGTGGGCGTGGCCACAGGATGTGACAGGCAGCACTCGGCCTCCTGCATCCCGCTGGGAGCAAAAATGGGCCACAGGCAGGACGCACTGCCCCGCGCCCGATTTTGGGCCTAGTAGGCCTCCCTGCAGCCTCCCGGGAGCAAAATTGGGGTGCGTGGGGTCTCCTGGAAGGGGTGGGGAAAGGAGGGGCGGAGTCAGCCAGCAATTTAACAAACATTTCACCCGAACTGGCCCGAACCAGCTGAATCCCACCACCAACTGTTGTTGTGAATTGCCCAGTTATGGTATACATAAGGACAGCCACATGAGTTTATGAAAATAAATAAAATCCACCTCAATGGGCCTTATTTCAGGGAAGCGCTTTTCATGTCCGCTAAATGAAATCAGCTAAAAGTAACCCATAATACATAGCAGCGACCAGTTACTGAAAAACTGTTCAAAGTGCCCATTTAATCTTTGTAATCTTATATTGCTTTGTTGTTAAAGAATTTAGAATACGGCTTTTTAAATTCTTTACCTTTGATTTGGTTTATAGCGCTTTGGCTTCCCAGCAGAAAGGCAGCATTAAATAGGATTGCTAAATAAATACTCATTTTGAATATGTATAAACTTTGTTTATTCACTGCTTGGTGCAAAGTTCATTCCATCTGTGTGCAAATCTTCGTGTGTTTTGTCTTTCTGTTATAGAGTGTAATAACCAATTATTAGGTTGATCTCATTCTAACTTCGATGAATGTTTATTTATCCATGACTGAGATTGCCAATTTGCACTCAAGTGCACTTTAAAATGTATAACCCTTTCCAAGCAACATAATGGAGCCACACATTTTAAATATAGATAATCCTCAACTTACAACCGTTCATTTAATGACTGCTTGAAGTTACAAAGACACTGGTCCTCACATTTACCGTATTTTTCGGAGTATAAAATGCACCTTTTCCCCGTCCTAAAAGGGGGTGAAAATTTGGGTGCGTCTTATACACCAAATGTAGCCTCGCCCACCCATTGGCCTCCACCCTTTGGCCTCTGCCTCCCAGCAATTTACGTCCTTGCAGCAAGCAGCAAGAAGAAACAGCCCATTTCAGCTTCAGCACAGCCTAATTAGCACAAGTTGATTGTCGGTTGGATTGGCCTCCCGACTCTCAGCTGTTTCAGGCTGCAGGGATTGCCATTGCCTATTGCTGCGTGGGCCTCAGCTGCTTGCTGCAAGGAGGTAAATTGCTGGGAGCAGATTTTTTTTTCTTGTGCTAATCAAGCAATGCTGAAAACGAAAATGAAAGTAAAGCAGGCTGTTTGCTGCTTGCTGCAATGAGGCAAAATTGCTGGGAGGCAGAGGCAGATTTCTTTTTCTTGTTTTCCTCACCAAAAAAGGTAGGTGCGTCTTATAGTCTAGAGCGGCTTATACTCTGAAAAATACGGTACATTGTTTGCAGCATCCCCACAGTCAAATGATCAAAATTCAGGCACCTGGAAACCAGAATGTATTTATGAGAGAGTTGCACCGTTCTGAGGTCATGTGATCACCATTTGCAACCTTTCTAGCCGGCTTCTGACAAGCGAAGTCAATAGAGGAAGGTGGATTTGCTTAAAGACCACGATTCACTTAACAACCGCAGTGATTTGCTTACAATCACAGCAAACAAGGTTGTAAAATCAGGCACAACTCACTTAACAACTGTCTTGCTTAGCACTAGAAATTCTCATCATCGTTGTGGTTGTAAGTCGAGGATTAGCTGTACAACCTATATCCATATTCATTTCATACTCCGTACCGTACAGTTAAAATGAATCTAGAAATCTGGATTCACCAAGCTGGCATTCAACCTAAGATAAATGAGAATACCGTTTGCATAAATTCTTCAAGCCAAGCAGTTCCCAATACTTCTATTTATTTGTCATTATTTGTTTTTCTTTTTATGACCCTGTAATCCTTTTTATGACCCTGTAATCCTTTTTATGACCCTGTAATCCCTTGCTTTGGAGTGGGATCAAGATGACTGAATGGAGCTGAGCATTTACTGGCCAGATTCCCTTCCTGACGCCTATGCGGAGTTCACAGCACATATTTTTCTTTGTGCCCTGATAGAGAAAATTTGTTGCTGCCTAGGATTGAACTCTGCACCTTCCGAGTGAGAGGCAAGCGTCTTCACTTCTAAGGCCACCATGCCGCTCATTTATTTTTCATAATTACGACAAACAATTACTTTGGTTATTCTACTTCAGCTAATGAAGTTAGATTTGACAAAGAACCCATACTTCACTGGGTCCTCTAAATTGGGCTGAAATAGGACAGAGGAAAGAAAGTAAATATTCCAAAAAACCCTCAAGATTTCGAAAAATCGCAGTGTTCGTTAAGAGAGCATGGGGGGACTAAGGAGAAAAACAGCATCAGTCATTATTTAATCATATCTGAAGCTGAATTTTTAATTACATTCATACATAATTCTAAACTCAAAAGGTCTTGAAACAAACCACAGGAGCCTGATTTATGCAATACGATCAAAACAAACCAAGATCCTTTATATCAGTGTTTCTCAACATTGGCCATTTTAAGATGTCTCAACTTTTAACTCCCAGCTAGGCTGGCTGAGGAATTCTGGGTGTTGAAGTCCAAACCTCTTAAAAGCGGCTAAGATTGAGAAACGCTCCTTTTATATTGTATGAAACAAATGGGCATTTCCATTTGACAGACAAACAGCCTGTTTTATACATCTCTGATGATAGAACTTTTTTTTTTAAAGCTCAACAAACCAAGCAAAGAAGAAATTGGACAGTATTTAAAATGGTGATTAGTTAAATATACAGCGGCCAGAGAAAGATATTAAATGCACCAGTACGTAAGATAAAGCACTCTCTGTTATTATTTATTTACATAGCACCATAACAAAGAGGAAGAAAGATTGTTCCCCCACGAATTAACCTAAATTTCGATTAATGTGGTACCTAGGTACTCCACTGCTTTGAAACTCATCGAATTCGGTACTCAAACGCATTTTGACGTAAAATCTTTATCCCGGTACTCAACACAGAATTTGTCAGTGTCACTTGCCTTATGACTCACTATATTATTCCTTATGTTAAACCTGTTTGGTACTCATCATTTTTGCTATTCATCTCACCTCCCAGAACAAATTAAGGATGAATACCAAGGTACCACTGTATTCAGGAAGACAATGGGAAGCAAAGGGTAAAAAGCACAGGCTGCATATTAGAATGAGATAATAGAAAAGCGAGCTTTTACAAAGGATTTGAAGGATGGGATATTCTAAAAGAGAATTCCAGGCATAATGGAAAAATGCAGGACATATTGTAAGAGAATAAGGAGGGTGCTTGACCAAGATAGACATAGACACTGTCAGGGGTTACAGGTAATCCTTGATTTACGACTGTTCATTTAGCAACCGTTCAAAGTTACAACAAACCTGAAAAAAATGACTTGCAATCAATTTTGTATTTACAACCATTGCCGCATTTTGTGATCAAAATTCAGGTGCTTGGCCACAAACTCAACCGAGGAAGCTGGATTCGCTTAACAACTGTGTGATTCAGTTAATGACCACAGTGGTTCACTTAACCACGGCAAAAAAGGTTGCAAAGTTAATAAAGGAGAATATTTGTAGGTTGAAATGAGGGGTCCTTGGGGCTCTCTGAGCTTGCTTTTTTTCTTGCAGATGTTTCATTGCCCATTACCCAAACTAGAACACAAACAAACTCACATCACATGGACCTCTCTGGTTGTAAAATTGAGCCGCAGTGGCGCAGTGGTTAGAGTGCAATACTATAGGCTACTTCTGCTGATCACCGGCTGCCAGCAGTTTGGCAGATCGAATCTCACCAGGCTCAAGGTTGACTCAGCCTTCCATCCTTCCCAGGTGGGTAAAATGAGGACCCAGATTGTTGGCGGCAATAGGCCGACTCTGTAAACTGCTTAGAGAAGGCTACAAAGCACTATGAAGCGGTATATCAGTCTAAGTGCTATTGCTATTGTGTGCAACTCACTTAATGACATCTTGCTTAGTGATATTTAAATCCAATTTTGGTTGTAAGTTGAGGACCACCTGTAATGGAAGATTAGGGCAGGAAGACTAAGTGAGGGTTGTTAAAATCAAACTAAATGCCTAGCCAAGAAAGCTACAAGATGAGCCATGGTGGCGCAGTGGTTAGTGTGCAGTTCTGCAGGCTACTTCTGCTGACTGCCGGCTCCCTGCAATTTGGCAGTTCGAATCTCACCAGGCTCAAGGTTGACTCAGCCTTCCATCCTTCCGAGATTGGTAAAATGAGGACCCAGATTGTTGGGGGCAATAGGCTGACTCTGTAAACAGCTCAGAGAGGACTGTAAAAGCACTGTAAAGCGATATACAAGTCTAAGTGCTATTGCTACTGAAACAAACTCTCTCTTTTATTTGTACAACCTTGTAATCCCTCAATTAGGGGTCAATTCCATAAACTGAGCTGATTACAACAGCAATAGAAGCACTTCAACCCAGTATAGTGCAATCAGGACATACTGTATTTTATTATTTGTTAAATTTATATGTCGCCTATCTTGCAAGCGGGGCTATTCTAGATGGCTTACAACAATAAAAACAGAAAAATGAATAGAAGCGCAAATGTAACAGTAAGCAAAGTAATGGAACAATGGAATAAAGAATGAGAAAGAAAACATACGATACAGCGATATGAGAATAAAAGATGGATGGGTAGAGAAACAGAGAGCAAGCGTTTTGTATCAATTTAACAGACACCTCCAGTGTGGAACTCCTCCCAGCCAGATCTCCACAGTCTTAGGGAAGGATAAGAGGGCGGAGGTAGATGTCACTTTGAAGGATAAGATATTCCAAAGGTGCTACAGCAGAGGAGGCTCTTCTAGATCCCGATAGTTGGAGTTCTTTGACCGATGGGATCCAAGTAGGTCCTCCCTGCCAGTATAAGTGAGACAAGGCTTGTCCTAGCGGGATGAGAAAGTTCAACAGGTAGCCTGGACCTAAGATATATGAAGCTGATATTCTTCTATTCTTCTTCATTGGGTGAAAATTCTCATAGTTTGCTGAGTGGCATCTCCACAGGTTCTCTTTGGAGTCTCCAGACAACCTGAATTCTTCCTCCTACTCTGTCTAGTTCTTGAAAGCCATGCAGATTTCCGTGACGGATATATTCCAAAATGGCTGACCGCAGGACCGTAATGGGAATGCTAAAGTTTAGGTGAGGGTAGGTCACACCGATGTTGTTATCCCTTGTGTTGCTGGCAACGATTCCTGCGAATGGAACACAGAGGATGAAAAGAATGGAATTCAATATCCCGACATACACACAAAGGGGCAAAAATGCAACATTAAAGGAAACGAGATTGAGGAGAGGCTTTAGGGAGATTTACACTGTTAAAATGAATCATTCAAAGAGCTGGATAATTTGTAGGAGCTAACGTGAGAAATTGTTTGTGCTAGAGCAAGGGTGTCAAACACAAGACCCGAGGGCCAAATCCAGCCTATGATGTGGGTGGATCCGGCCCGCAAGTCCGTCCTGGAAAATATAAGGGGCCAGCCCGCATGGCTTCGGCCCGGTCTACCCAGTGCGAAGAGGAAACATCGGGCCAGAGTGGCTTCGGCCTGGTCTACCCAGTGCAAAGAGGAAACATCGGGCCAGCAGTTTGCCGAGTAGCATCAAGCTGGCCATGCCCACCCAGTTTGCCACACCTGGCCAGCCCCCCCAAGGTCAACCCTGATGCAGCCCTCCATGAAATTGAGTTTGACACCCCTGTGCTAGAGGCATCTGGTTGCGTCTGCTGAGAATTGTAGTTCAGTGACGTGTAAAGGACAGCAATCTCGCCTTTCGTAAACTGAAAGCTAGAAACTTATTTCCTTTAAGCTTGATATCCTCAGGAAGTGAGATCAAGGAGAAAGAAACTGTAATCATGATACACCACAGATTTTTCTTTATATTACTGCTCTGGATGTTCCTATTTTGGGTTAAGAGTTGAGAATTTGGTTGGTTGCAAATCCATTTCTTCATCTATCCACCTTACCTAGAAGTTTCCCACTGTGGGTGCCAAAGAGGGCGCCTCCACTTGAACCACCATGAACTGCACTGGTTGCCTGGAGCATCACTGGCTTATCTTCCACGGTGATCACAGCCGAGAGGATTCCCGATGTGACGGATGGTCCACAGGCCTGACCGAAGACACCAAAGCTCACAATACTCACATCTTCTCCTGATTGAAGAACACACAAACCAGACAACAGTCATCAAGAACCTTCTCATCATGTTCTGGATGCCACCGCTATATTATTGCAGTGTAAAATATATTTTACTCTTTGTCATTTTTGGGGGGCACCTTAACTCAAAAACTCATTAAGAGAAAGGCAGATAAACTATACAATACCCAATTGTTGTTGTTTTTTTTAAAAAAAAGCATCCTTGCAAATAAAAAGCTAATTTGGGACTAAACATTTGTTGTTATCTGTCTATGGAGATTCTCAGTCATCCAGGTCATGGTTGCCTAAAAAGGTACTTGAAGGTGCTCAGAGCTGAAGAAGCTTCTTGGATGAGAAGCAAAACGTCCTCAAAGAAAAACCAGAAAGTTCAGTTGCCTCTTGAAAAAAAGCACATTTTACAGCCTTTTTTTGCAGTAGTCATTAAGTGAATCACTGCAGTCATTAAACGAGACATCATTTGACAGAATAACAAAACAACAGAGCTGGAGGGGACATTGAAGGTCTTCTAGTCCAACCCGCTGCCAATCAGGAGACCCTATACCAATGATGGCTAACCTTTTTACTATCACATGGCAAAAGTGAGGGGAGCAGGGGGGGTCGGCTGCACGCGTGCCCACCCATAATTCTATGTGCCCCGCTCCCCACGTATGTGTGCGTGACCCTCCCCCTCCACGTTTTCCCCGCTTTTGGCATGTGATGGCACGGTGGGCCTGGTAGGCCCATTTTTGGCCGGTAGGCCCATTTTTGGCCCTCCCCAGGCTCCAGAGCCTTTCTAGGAGCCTGGGGAGGGCAAAAACTGCCTTCTGCATCCCCTCCCAGAGGCCCTCCGGAGGCCGGAAACGGCCTGTTTGCCAACTTCCAATGGGCCCAGAAGGCCCAAAAATCAGCTGATTGGCGTGCGCATGTGCAGCAGAGCTGAGCTCGCATGCCCACCGATATGGCTCTGTGTGCCACCTGTGGCACACGTGCCATAGGTTTGCCATCACGGATCTATACCATTTCAAACAAGTGACTGTCCAGTCTCTTCTACTGGTTAATTGTTCTCATTGTTAGGAACTTTCTCCTTAGTTCTAGATCAGGGGTCTGCAACCAGCGGCTCTGGAGCCGCATGTGGCTCTTTCATCCCTCTGCTGCGGCTCCCTGTCGCTCAAAACATGCATCACAGCCGCCAATGTGCAACACCTGCCGGCATGCGATTTATTGAGCTTTTCGACCCATCTTTTTTTTTTCAGAGTTCAAAATGTTTTTGTTGCATGCAGAAATAAAAATTTTGTTTTCTCTGTAGCCGTTCATTGGGTACATAAATGCAACACACTATAGGTTTTTTTTTAATACATAGCATAAAGGTAAAAAATGATATATGTCAAAAGATTTGGCTCCCGGTGTTTTCTTTTCTGTGGGAAATGGGTCCAAATTGAGTGTTTAAGGTTGCCGACCCCTGTTCTAGATGAAATTTCCTAATTAACTAGCTAACTACCATATTTTGTGGAGTATAAGATGCACCTTTTTTCTCCCTAAAGGTGGGGGGAAATTTAGGTGCTTCTTATAGACTGAATACGGCGATTTTGGCCTCCCGAACCCTCCACGTGTCGCATTTTTACCCTCCCAGGCCCCCAGAAGCACTCTGCCGTGCTCCATACAGCCTGTTTTTGCCAAAAACGGGCCCGCTTTCATAAAAAACGGACCATTTTGGGGCTCCCAAGCCCTCCGCGCATCGCGTTTTTGCCCTCCCCAGTAGCCCCCTGTAGGCCAAAAATGGGCCCATTTCTGGCAAAAACGGGCCATGCGGAACACTGCAGAGTGCTTCTGGGGGCCTGGAGGGCGAAAACGTAATGCGCAAAGGGCTTGAGAGTCCAAAAACGGGCCCACTTTTGGCAAAAACAGGCTGTGCGGAATGCTTCTGGGGGCCGAGGAGGGCGAAAACGCAACGCATGGAGGCAAAAAACTAATTTTTTCTTGTTTTCCTCCTGTAAATTTAGGTGCGTCTTATAGTCCAAAAAATATGGTATCGTGTTTCCCTAAAAATAAGACCCTGTCTTATTTTTTTTGGAACCCCGAAATAAGCGCTTGGCCTTATTTTTAGGGAGGTCTTATTATTTTGGGGTGCGTGGAGCAAGATGGGGCTCCTCTTGCCGTCTTACCTGATTTCCAGCTCTGCATTTAAATATTTTCGGGGAGGGTTTATTTTCGGGGGGACGCTTATTTTAGCGCATGCGCTCAGAAGCCCGATTGGGCTTATTATCAGGGGAGGTCTTATTTTCGGGGAAACAGGGTAACTAACTCGCTCACTCACTGTGATTTGCAACTTCCCTGCCAGCTTGCCCATTGATTTGGCTTCTCAGAAGCCAGTTAGAAGATTGTAACTGGTGATCACATGACCTTGGAATTTTGCAACTATTCTAAATATATGCCTGTTGCTCAGCAGCTGAGTCATAATCATGTAACTACAGAATCACTGTGATGGTCATAAATGCGAGGACTAATCATAAGTCCCTTTTTTCATTAGACGCCTCTTTCACCTGCTCATACAGATCTCCATAAATAGCTGTGCTGTGAAAAGCATGGCAGCTGTAAACCACTTAAAGCATAAACTCTGAGAATGAAGTAATTAGTGTGTGTGCAAAACACTTATTTCATAAGAGCTCTTTCGAATGCTTTAGAAGTATTTCAAGTTCCAATTTTGTTGCAAGCTCCAAATATTTCCAAAATGATTAAAATAACCTGCTCCAAAGGAGAAGCAATGGATTCATCTTGGAAAAAACTGCTTTACACATATAGCATATACACATATATGCTTTACATATACAGACTGGGTGAAATTCAGGCTTAATAGCAGTAACTTGGCATCTTAGTGGATAACCAATTAAATATGAGCCAGCAGTGTGTGGCGGCGGCCAAAAAAGCCAATTCAATCCTAAACTGCATTAACAGAGGGATACAATCAAGATCAAATGAGGTACTATTACCACTCTGTAAAGCCTTAGTAAGACCACACCTAGAATACTGCATCCAGTTTTGGTCACCACACTATAAAAAAAAAATGTTGAGACTCTAGAAAGAGTGCAGAGAAGAGCAACCAGGATGATTAGGGGACTGGAGGCTAAAACATATGAAGAACGGTTGCAAGAACTGAAAATGGCTAGTCTAGTCAAGAGAAGGACCAGGGGAGACATGATAGCAGTGTTCCAATATTTGAGGGGCTGCCACAGAGAGGAAAGGGTCAAGCTATTTTCCAAAGCAACTGAAGGCCAGATAGATGAAAACTGAACCAGGAGAGATTCAACCTGGAAATAAGGAGAAATTATGAGAGCAATCAACCAATGGAACAGCTTGTCTTCAGAAGTTATGGGAGCTTCATCACTGGAAGCTTTCAAGAAGTGACGAGACTGCCATCTGTCAAAAATGGTGTAGGGTCTGTTTGGGCGGGAGGGTTGGAATAGATGACCTAAAAGGTCCCTTCCCACTCTGTTAATCTGTAATCTGCTTCACTCAAAGGAATTGTTTGGAACTCAATTTCAGGTCAAATTTAATTTAAAATATATTTGCCTATCTCTTCAAAGATGTTTTCAATATGTAAGGTTTACACTTTCCCATTAAATTTGATACATTATTTATCAATGCCAGCTTCAAAATTAATTGTTTACTAGTCCAATGTTAAGTAATGGGTATCAATATTTAATACAACAATATTTGAGGTGCTGCCACAAAGAAGGGGGGAGGGGGAAACCTATTCTCCAAATCACCTGAAGGCAGAACAAGAAGCAATGAATGGAAACTAATCAAGGAGAGAAGCATCCTAGAACTAAGGAGAAATTTCCTGTCAGCGGGAACAGATTGTACAGCCATTTCTCTGGAATTGTATAGGGTTTCCAGCTTGAGCAGGGGGTTGGACTAGAAGACCTCCAGGGTCCCTTCCAACTTTCTTATTTTGTTCCTCTTCTTTACAGCCCTATGTAGACAAAATAACAAAAAAGAGACACCAATCTGGATGCATTATTCTGTTCTCACCTGGATGAAAAGCTGATGCTAGAGGAAGCTCTGGCAATGTGGATAAACCTTCTTCCAACTCCACCAATGCAATATCATATGGAGAAGTGTCCTTTGTTGCAAACACTACCTTTCCTTTCACTACAGAACCCCTAGGAGCAAAAAAAAAAAAAAAAAAAAGAAATCAATATTTCTGGTGGTGAATAATAATGAAATCTGTTTGTTAAGCAAATTAAATATCCAGACAACATGATGCTTATTAAGCACTAAGAAATGTAATTAATAGAAAATTAATAATATTTATTTTTTTAAAAAGGCAAATCTAAGATCAAAGAATGAGGATCTCGCCCACGTTACTCTTAATGGGCTTTTCTGCATTACAGTAATTTCTCCATTGCATTTTCTAACACATTTCCAGAGAAGGAGATGATACAAAGACGAACAAGAGAGCAAGGCCTGAAGAGCCATATTGAAAAGAAACAAATGGCTGATGCTGAAAATTTTTCCTTTTTTTCTCCCAGGCCATTAATTAATTCTGTTTTAGGGAGCATTGTGGGGGGGAGGAGAATGGAAGGAGTCAGGGGGATCAGTATAAATGACTTTAAGTTCAGGTTTGCATAAATACTTACCCATCCCAGAAAAAACAAAATCTGTGCTTTTTTCCCCTCCATGTTCCCTGTTACATCACAATCAGTTATTAGTATTTACACTGCAGTTCTTATTATTACCCTATTACCCAACATGGACTGATTTAATGGTTACACATGTTGGTTAAAGAGCACTGCAATGCATTTCTTCATTGAAAAAAGACACAAACCACAACTTAAATTCAAACGTAACTACCAAGAATTTTAGTCTGGAATGGATTTTCACTTTCATGTGTCTGTTTTCTTTTCTATAAGGAGGGCTCTCTGAATTTATGATTCAATGCATAAAATGGGAACTGCAGTATATTAACAATAGGAATAGGAATAGCACTTAAGACTTATATACCGCTTCACAGTGCTTTACAGCACTCTCTAAGCGGTTTACAGAATCAGCATATTGCCCTAACAATCTGGGTCCTCATTTTATCGACCTTGGAAGGATGGAAGGCTGAGTCAACTTTGAGCCTGGCAAGATTTAAACTGCCAAATTGCAGGCAGCCAGCAGTCAGCAGAAATAGCCTGCAGTACTGCATTCTAACCACTGCACCACCACGGCTCAAGTTACATAAGTTATCAGTTCTTCTAAAACAGTCTCCTACAACCTGACTCCCTTTGGATATGGTGGGATCCAAAGCCACTGTAATTCCACACAAATCGCTGCTTCTCCAAGAATTCGTATTTGACCAGAATCCAAAATCGAACTGACAATACAGTTCTTGCAAGCAAATTAGCACAAACAGAATAATAAATGTAACTCGAATTCTCCATCCATCCATCCATCCATCCCCAGTGCAGTGCAATGATTAAATTGCTGGACTAAGAACCAGCAGACCGCAACATAAGACCGAATTCTAGCCCTATCCTAAGAAAAGAAGTCAGCTGAGTGACTGTAAGCCAATTATTCTCCCTCCACCCTGATTGGGAAGTTGAAAAACATCCACCATCATGCAATGGATCAACATGGCAAATATAGGTAGTCCCTTGCTTAATAATCATTTGTTTAGCGACCATTCAGAGTTAGAATGGCACTGAAAAAAGTGACTTACAGTCAGGCCTCGGACTACCAACCATCCCATGGTTCTATGCTTGGTAACTGGCATGCATTTATGACAGTTACAGCCTTCTGGGACCAAGTGATCCAACATTTTTTACCTTCCGAGCCATTGTCTGACAAGCAAAGTCTTCGGGAAGCCAGATTCGTTTAACTGTATGATTTGTTTAAGAACTGCAGTGATCTGCTTAATAACACGTGGCAATGGTCATGGAATTGGGCATGACTTACAAAGCAAATGCCTTGCTTAGCTATGGAAACCCAATTGTGGTCACAGGTCAAGGACTACCTGTAATGGTCCATAACTTTGCACGAGGAGCCTTCATCCTGCAGTGAATTGATTCAGACTGATAATTATGCACACTGCAGAGCTATGGGTGACAACCAGAGATGGTATTCAGCTGGTTCGGAAAAAATGGTAGTGGCGACCTGCGGGTGAAGCCAAGCGAGTGTGCACACACGCTCACATTTTCAGTGCGCAGCAAACCGGTGGTAAAATTATGTGAAACCCACCTCTGGTTACAACAGGCACTGTTCTGCTATTATCAAGTCCGTCAATCTGGTAAGGACATTTTAGGAAGTCCTGTGAAGAGACGTTCTTCTCTCTGAAGTGGCAAGGTAACCATCGTCTCTGTGGAGGGACTTAGTTTAGAATTTCTTACCTGCAAAGGTCCATAAAGTTCCCTTTCTCTCCACTTTAAGAAACTTTTTTTTAGAAAAAAATAAAAACATTTTTAGAAACTCTTTAAAGTTTTATTTCATTGGTCCTTCAAACCTTGGTAAATTTTTACTGGTGTCCATGTATGGAGAGGGTTGATTTATTATTACTGTTCTTTTTATCATTTTAATTTATTATTCTCTTCTTGTGTTTACATTCTTAGAACCCACCCAGAATCTTTAAAGTTGCTCTTAGATTCACCTAAATCTTTAAAGTTGGCTTTCGTAGGTTTTATGTGTATTTCTCTTTAGCCAGGTTCTGGCTTGGTTTACATAGGTAGAACCTGGCTAAAGAAAAATACACACACACACACACACACGTATGTATGTATGTATGTATTTATATATATATATATATATATATATATATATATATATATATATATATAGAGAGAGAGAGAGAGAGAGAGAGAGAGAGAGAGAGAGAGAGAGAGATAAAAATACATACATATAGATATAGATATAGAGTTGCAGTTTGTCAGCAGAAAAAAGGCCCAGAAACTTGTGAACGAGATTTCACAGAACCAGGGCTGTAGAACAACTTAGTTTACGTAGGTAAAACCTGGCTAGAAAGAATATGCACATAAAAGCCTACGAAAAAGAAAAAGACACATTGTACCTTTACAGGGAGGATATCTGAGAAGTGGGTGTGGCTCACTGATGACGCCTTAAAAGGCAGAAATAGCTATCTGAGTCTCCCAGAGAGCAACACAGAGTTGCAGTTTGTCAGCAGAAAAAAGGCCTAGAAACTTGTGAATGAGATTTCACAGAACCAGGGCTGTAGAACAACTTAGTTTACGTAGGTAAAACCTGGCTAGAAAGAATATGCAGATATAGATATAGATATAGATATATAGATATAGATATATAGAGAGAGGAAGGGGGGGAGGGAAGGAGGGAGAGAGAGAGAGAATATACACACACCAAATTTTTTGGAGTATAAGATGCATTTCCCCCCCCCCAAAAGAAGCTGAAAATTTGGGTGCATCTTATACTCCGAATGTAGCTTTTTCGAAGCTTTTTTCCAGCCCTAACGAGGTACTACCGAGTGAAGCGATCTTCCGCGCTTTGCCTGCTTTTCTCATTGCTTCTCTCTCCAAAGATCACTTGTATTTTAGAAGCTGTTTTTTTATCCCCAAGCAGGGGATAAAAACCAGCAAACTAACGACCAGACTAAGGATGCTAGCCAGATGAATACCTGGTAAGCAGATTTTTTCCCCCTATTTTACTCCCCCAAAACTAAGTTGCGTCCTATACTCAGGTGCGTCTTATACTCTGAAAAATACGGTAGATAAAAAAACTGCAGGGGAGGCTGAAACTCCTTCAGTCTGGAAATGAGACTATGCATGCTCACATCCTCAAGACTGCCACACCTATACTCTTCCAAACTTCACCCACAGCTGCTCAGATCAGCATGTTCAGGTTGCATCAGAGACACCAGGAGAACAAAGAAACACATAAGCAAATATTAAAATTCAGACTCACCTGTTAGGACTGGTTAGAAACCTGATACGGACATATGATGCTCCGCCGATCACATGCCGACAGGTTAACAGCAGCCTTGAATTAATCATCACCCCGGACCCCCAGGTCGACCCACATTCTACCAGAACCACAGCATCCAACAGGTGCCTGTCCAGTCCATTTCTGTGTACCATCATAGCGTGCGACCTGGTCACATGTTCCATGGGGAGCAACCAAGGAGACCCAGAAAGGACCCCCGCCACACTCTCCAGAATGGAGTCAATGGCACAAACCAGAGTCAAGCCAACCCACTCGGTGGATTTCCAGCAAAGTGGAGCTACAATGATTCCGACCAGATGAGGACCCATTCCTGACATGACAAAGACGCCCCCACCTTCGGTGCCAGGCAAGCAACGCGCGTCAATCAAGAGGAGGGCATTGTTTGCTCCTGCCAGGTTGCTGACTATCCCTTTACTAAGGGTATTCATGAATATCTCCGGGCACAATGAGCCGAAAGGTGAGCCACAGGTGAAGACGGTATCACCCTTCCTGAGGGATCCGGCTGGAACACAGGTCGCCCAACTTGCCCCATAGGAATCATTCTCCAGGATCCTCAGCAGAGCAAACCAATGCAGGCAAGGCAAGTCCTGTTCCAAAGAGTTGACCTCTTGCTCAAAGTCATTCCCTCCAAAATGCCATAGATCCGAAGCGCTGAAGATTTTGGAGAAGGCCTCCTGGAACCGGGGACAGGCGGCTACCATCAGGAGCTCAGCATCGCAGTTCTTCCAACCGTGGGGAGATCCACGCCGATTCGAAAGCGGATTAAACCTTAGCACGGGATTATTTTCCCCCAGATCTCCAGCCAGGCAATCCCGGTCCGCTTTGCTGCTGCTGCTGCTGCACCCACCACTTGCCTTAAGCACCTGGATCTGGAGGCCCGGGAAGAAGCGATCGGAGAGCAGGACTTTGCCCTGCGACCAATCGGGATGCTCGGATTCCAGAAGGAAAGGGGAAAAGAGGATCCCGGGGCAAAGAACGAGGCCCGGGGGATCTGGACTCAAGAGGACGCCGCTGCCGCTGCAAGATCCGCTGGTGACCCGGGAGTGAGACACCGAGATCACGCAGCCAGCTCGGGCTGCGGTCGATCCCAGCGTTTCGGACATAGGGACAAAATAAAAGTCGCCAGCGGAATCTCTCTCGGCTGATCGTCCGGCCAGAGGGCGAAAGGGGAAGCCCGAATTCTGCAAAAACGCTGGGAGAGTTTAATTGCAAAGAAAGCCCGTCGCTTCCAGGGTCGCCCATTCAGTGCTGCATGGCTCCTTCCTGCCCCTTTCCGAGAACCGGGAAGATCGGAGCCCCCACTGCCCGACGGAGCTCCGCTGCAAGTCCCGGGACCCGCCGGACCAGCCGAAACAAACCACCGAAACGGAGAGGAAGAAGCATCGGGCAAAGCCGGAATAAACAAAGAAAGTGGGAGGGGGTGGAGAGCTAAGCTCGCTCCCATTGGCCGATCGGTCGATTGCAGCGCTTACGATTGGTGGAGGAGACTCGGGCAAGGAACGTCCTCTCCCATTGGCTGCTTTTAGAGCTTTGGTTTGGGGAGCTGTTTGATTAACTCTCGCCTTGAAGAGCTGCGACCCTGCCTAACTCAAACTTTGGGTTGAAAGGGATCTTTCTTTGGATCAAGCGCCGGAGTCATTCGGCATCAATATTACAGTGATAAAGCGCAGACTGGGATTGAAAAAAAAAAAGTTCTGAGTGCTGCATAAATTCTTTGCCTTTGATGATCTTCGGGATTCCTTATTTAACTTGAGGGGGGGGGAGGAAGCAAAGAAGAAAGCCATTTAACAGATTAACAGAGTTGGAAGGGACCTTGTAGGTCATCTACTCCAATCCCCCCACTCTCCGCCCAAACAGGAGATCTTACACCATTTCTGACAGATGGCAGTCCAGTCTCTTCTTGAAAGCTTCCAGTGATAAAGCTCCCACAACTTTTGAAGGCAACTTCTGTTCCATAGGTGAAGAACAGAGAATCCAATATTAGGATACATTGATAGCATTTCTAAAATGGGGAATGTAATTGTTCTTATTTATTCTGCATCCCTCAGATCCCACCACATATACTGTGTCTGGTTTGTGTGGGGAAGTGTTTAATGTGCTAGATTGCAACAGGATGACCCAGATTCTAATCCTAATTCAACCAAGGAAACTCACTGGCGTGAGTTCACACTCTGGAGTTTCTGAGTTTGGCTGTTTTCTTGCAGATGTTTTATTACCCAACTAGGTAACATCTTCAATATAATCTGGTTGGGTAATGAAACACCTGGAAGAAAACAACCAAGCTCAGAAACCACCAAGGACTCCACAGTTCAATCATGAGCTACAAATATTCTCCTCTGTTGCACATCCACTCTCTCTCAGCCCAACCTACCTTACATGATTCTTGTTGGGAACAAAATGGGAGGAGAACTATGTATGACACCATGAATGTGAAAGCTAGGCAGGGATTTGGTTGTGATGCCATACCTGACATCTTGCACGTTGTAATCCTTTCCCTGTGGGCGCCATTGCACACAGCTTAACAAATACACAAATGACTATGTTAAGAGTGCAAGCAAACACGGTCAAATAAAGGCGCCGATGCCTATTAGGAAACTGAGGTTTAGCAAGAGCAACAGAGATTAGGCCTCATTAAGGTATTTGAAAGAGTGTCTTATGGAAAAGGTGGCCTCTTTTCAACTTTCTTACATCTTGAGGTTGCACGAAAGCAAGACAACCTACTGTTGCATGTTTGAGAAAGCTTGCTAATGTGCTAAGAGCTGTCTGATTGTGAAACCAACACACTAGGAAGGGAACGGTCCCTACTTTGCTATTGGCAAAGGACACAGAGAGATCTATTGGGGACGCTTAGAGCTGGATTCTTGCAAGGAGTGGACATTGGACTGTTTGCTCCTTTCCACCTCTAACAGTTACTAATTTTGTTGGCTTGTAGGTCTGGTTGGCAATCCATGTTCTTTTAAGAAAAACAAGAATTTTCCAGTGTTGTTTTGGGAAAACTCCAAATCAATGTAGTCTGTCAATCCATTAAACAAGTATATATTTCTGAATTCCGACAATGACATGAAAAGCAAGCATAATTAACCAAGTATGTGTTATTTATTCTAGTTGTTTCATTTCCTGCTGCTTATTTCCATTTTGAGATCTCTTGTTGTGGAAATATGAGAGGAAAACATCTGTCCTGCCATAACTGTCACACACCTCCATCTTTTAGAAGCTAAAAAAAACTCCAAGTTCTTAAGTTTCCCAGCAGGGGAACTGTTTTCATGTAGTTACAGGTAGTCCTCAACTTACAACCACAATTGAGCCAGTGGTGGATTTCAAAATTTTTTACTACTGGTTCTGTGGGTGTGGCTTGGTAGACGTGGCATGGCTTGGTGGGCGTGGCAGGGGAAGGATACTGTAAAATCTCCATTCCCACCTCACTCCGGGGGAAGGATACTGCAAAATCCTCATTTCCTCCCGATCAGCTGGGACTTGGGAGTCAGAGAATAGATGGGGGTGGGGCCAGTCAGAATTTTTACTAACGGTTCTCCGAACTACTCAAAATTTCCAGTACCAGTTCTCCAGAACTGGTCAGAACCTGCTGAAACCCACCTCTGAATTGAGCCCAACATTTATGTGAAAAATTTATTAAGTGAGCTTTGCCCCATTTTATGATTTTCCTTGCCACATTTGTTAAGTGAATCACAGCCGTTGTTAAATTAGTAACACCGTTGTTAAGTAAATCTGGCTTCCCCATTGACTTTGCTTCTCAGAAGGTCGCAAAAGGGGATCACATGACCCCTGGACACTAGACTGTCATAAATATGAGTCAGTTGCCAATCGTCCAAATTTTCATCACGTGCCCTTTGGGGATGCTACAATGGCCATAAGTGTGAAAAATGGTCATAGTGAGGTTTTTCAGTGCCATTGTAAGTTTAAACAGTTACTAAATGAACTGTTGTAAGTCAAGGACTACCTGTACCAGTGGTGGGTTTCTCTCAGTTCCGCCGAGGTGGTACCGGTGACGATATGACGTCACCGAACTGGTTCTGCTCCCCCGCCCCCCCCAGCATTATTCTTACCTTTTATTTGGCCCCACCCCAAATCTATTGCTGCCTCCTGAGTCCCAGCTGATTGGCTAGAGGGGAAAAAAACTGTTTATACTCTTGCCAGGGGACTTCAAAGGGCCGCCCTACAGCTGATCAGTGTTAAAAGAAAACAAATGAGTAGACCGGTGCCTACAAAATAAATGGGTAGACCAGTCCCTGCAAAAATAAATGAATAGACCTGTGCCTGCAAAAATAAATGGGTAGGCCAGTACCTCCAAAAACAAATGAGTAGACCGGTACAGCTCTGCAAGCAGTTAAAAGCCTGGTAGACCAATACCTCTGCTAAATCCTAAAGAATTGTCACATGACCATCAAGCCACGCCCATAAAATAAGCCATGCCCACAGAACCGGTAGTAAAAAATTTAGAACCCACCCCTGACCTGTACATGTAGAGTGGCCCATTCTATGTGTTCTGGAGGTCTACAATATTCTTTCTTAAAGTGACATCATCCCAAGCATAATATTAGGAGTGTGGCAATTTGATTTTTTCTTCCAATTAAAAAGTACCTTTTTTTCACAGTAGTTACAGTCTGTGCTTTCCTTATGTGGAGCAAGCATGGGAAATGCTTGAACCTGCTCCCACTGACTCTAAAATAAAGGCACATTCTGTGCTAGTTCTTTGGTAAAATGAACCATAATATCCTTTTAATCGATGTACATCTGGCCCTAAAGAGGTCTGACCCAATTTAGCATTTTCATGATCAGGTAGTGGCACTGGATAACCTTGAGTGATCTAGATTGAAAAGTAAAAAACAAACAAAATTAAAAAATACTGGAAGGCAAGGACAAACTATTCCTGGATTGCTGTCAAGACTTGTCTGTGAATCAAGCTTACTTTCAAAGCATCTTTACTTTTTTTTTTTAGCTTAAAGAGTACTGCATGTATTTTTTTTGAAAGAAAGTTCAAAAACCAGAACAGCCTTGAAATTTATTATTTTATTATTATTTTATTATTCATATTTCTATGCCTCCCACTCTCTGAGGACTCTGGGTGGCTTACACCAAAGACAGTATACTAAATAGCACATTGCCCCCAACAATCTGGGTCCTCATTTTACCCACCTCGGAAGGATGGAAGGCTGAGTCAACCTTGAGCCGGTGAGATTTGATCCGCTGATCTGCTGAACTAGCAATCAGCTGAAGTAGCTGCAGTACTGCACTCTAACCACTGTGCCATCTCAGCTCTTATATGTGCTGGCTTTGTGTCTGTTCTAAGAACAATCAATCAAGGAAGGGCTAAACTGCAGGGGTGTCAAACTGGTGGCCCGCGGGCCAAACCCACCCCAGCTCCGTGAGCAGAAAAAATGTCATAAAACATCATGTGATGGCAATATGTTGCGGCGAGTTTGACACCCGTGGGCTAAAGGGAAGCTTTACATTAGAGCAAGTTGACAGATCTGGAAGCCATCTTTTACATTTGGGCCTTCAGGCCTGCCACATATTCTTCTGTGGGAAAATGGGAAGGGGGGATTGCATAGAGTATGGATGATATGTAGTATGTAGTCAGAATAACACTCCTTTCTCAGAGAGTCAAGGACACTTTGCCCTGGCAGCTGGAGTCGGATGACTGGGAGGTGTCTCCAGTTTGGACAGTGGATGATTGGACCATATGATGGACATGAGGGTGCTGGACAGGGACTTGAACTTTCACTTGGGTGGGGAAAACCTAGAAACTTTCAGATTTGGGTTTTCCCAGTTGTGCCAATATGACATCTTCAATAAAAAGGAACTTTGAGGAACCTCAAGCCTTGGAGTTTTCTTTCGTTGGGGGTGTTACTTGGAATCCTGATACAAGTGTGTAGGAAGAGTAGCAAGACCTGGAGGGCAGAGTCAAAACAGAAATCAGCCTAGAGTCATTATGTAGCCACAAATGAACTAAGTCCAACCCCTCTTGAATTCTGTTGAACCTTATTTAGTGCTAAAATAGCGCCAACCGTTGAGTAAATTCCACTGCTTAGGCATGAGTAGTAATAAATCAGTTTCATTAAAACTTCAGGTGCTGTCCAGGTTTTTAGTGCCTGACAAGGTTTAATAATCAACTGTTGGGTCTGAGTCCCATAATTTCCATCCTATCTCTTTGTGCATCGAGTGAGATAATTGGTGGCATAGCTAAATCCTACTTCCCTTCAAATACTCACCATCCATATAGTAATCAAGTAACCAGAAATGTAAAATTTTGAATACTTTGGGGGTTTTGTCGTTGGGAAGGACTAGGCCTATAGAAATCCTGCTCATCTCTTGTTAAAAGGCACTCCACATTCTCTGATGGCAACATTCACCTGGACTAGTTTTGTCCCCTTTGA